GCGTATCTACCGCTCCTCCCAGTTTAGTGTCATCAGCAAACTTGCTGAGGATGCAGTCCGTGCCATCCTCCAGATCATTAATGAAAATATTGAACAAAACCAGTCCCAGGACCGACCCTTGGGGCACTCCGCTTGATACTGGCTGCCAACTAGACATGGAGCCATTGATCACTACCGGTTGAGCCCAATGATCTAGCCAGCTTTCTATCCACCTTATAGTCCATTCATCCAGCCCATTCCTCTTTAATTTGCTGGCAAGAATACTGTGGGAGACTGTATCAAAAGCTTTGCTAAAGTCAAGGAATAACACATCCACTGCTTTCCCCTCATCCACAGAGCCAGTTATCTCATCATAGAAGACAATTAGATTAGTCATGCATGACTTGCCCTTGGTGAATCCATGCTGACTGTTCCTGATCACTTTCCTCTCCTCTACGTGCTTCAAAATTGATTCCTTGAGGACCTGCTCCATGATTTTTCCAGGGACTGAGGTGAGGCTGACTGGCCTGTAGTTCCCCAGGTCCTCCTCCTTCCCCTTTTTAAAGATGGGCACTATATTTGCCTTTTTTCCAATCATCCGGGACCTCCCCCGATCACCATGAGTTTTCAAAGATAATGGCCAATGGCTCTGCAATCACATCCACCAACTCCTTTAGTACACTTGGATGCAGTGCATCCGGCCCCATGGACTTGTGCTCATCCAGCTTTTCTAAATAGTCCTGAACCACTTCTTTCTCCACAGAGGGCTGGTCACCTCCTCCCCATACTGTGCTTCCTAGTGCAGTAGTCTGGGAGCTGACCTTGTTTGTGAAGACAAAGGCAAAAAAAGCATTGAGTACATTAGCTTTTACCACATCCTCTGTCACTAGGTTGCCTCCCCCATTCAGTAAGGGGCCCACACTTTCCTTAACTTTCTTCTTGTTGCTAACATACCTGTGGAAACCCTTCTTGTTACTCTTGATATCCCTTGCTAGCTGCAACTCCAAGTGTGATTTGGCCTTCCTGATTTCACTCCTGCATTCCTGAGCAATATTTTTATACTCTTCCCTGGTCATTTGTCCAAGCTTCCACTTCTTGTAAGCTTCTTTTTTGTGTTTAAGATCAGCAAGGATTTCACTGTTAAGCCAAGCTGGTCGCCTGCCATATTTACTATTCTTTCTATACATCGGGATGGTTTGTTCCTGCAACCTCAATAAGGATTCTTTAAAATACAGCCAGCTCTCCTGGACTCCTTTCCCCCTCATGTTATTCTCCCAGGGGATCCTGTCCATCAGTTCCCTGAGGGAGTCAAAGTATGCTTTTCTGAAGTCCAGGGTCCATATTCTGCTGCTCTCCTTTCTTCCTTGTGTCAGGATCCCGAACTTGACCATCTCATGGTCACTGCCTCCCAAATTCCCATCAACTTTTGCTTCCCCTACTAATTCTTCCCTGTTTGTGAGCAGCAGGTCAAGAAGAGCTCTGCCCCTACTTGTTTCCTCCAGCACTTGCACCAGTAAATTGTGCCCTACACTTTCCCAAAACTTCCTGGATTGTCTGTGCACTGCTGTATTGCTCTCCCAGCAGATAGCGGGGTGATTGAAGTCTATGAGAACTAGGGCCTGTGATCTAGCAACTTCTGTTAGTTGCCTGAAGAAAGCCTCGTCCACCTCATCCCCCGGTCTGGTGGTCTATAGCAGATTCACATCAGGACATCACCCTTGTTGCTCACACTTCTAAACTTAATCCAGAGACTCTTAGGTTTTTCTGCAGTTTCACACTTTGCAATGCTGAAGTCAGCTGTGACATTAAAAAATAGGAAACTTGTCAAAGCAAAGACTCATAAATACTTCGCACCGAGTACAGTTAGGGAGTACTTTCATGGCACATCAACACTTGGAATGTAGTATTCAAAACGAGATATGGAAATATATGGGGAGATACCAAGGACAAAGCTGGCACAAACAAGTGAATTAAACTTTAAGTGATGTGTAAAGAGTTTTGTTACTTGTAAAATCATACCAGAAATACTAGTAGCTGAAATGCATATCTGTGAAGCATACCTTCTATAAAAGGTGAACACACTGCGAGCATTTACTTCCCAGAAGGTAGGTATGTAAGTCTCCTTTTTGCAGTGTATTGCTTTGTTTTTAGACAATAAATTTGGCTATGTTTGGTTATTTGGTCTCTTGAACAAACTGTGAGTGTAGTCAATCAATTGGCTACACCTTGTAGTCAATACTCTAAAGCATATTCCAGTTCCAGAAGCAGGGCAGTCATAATTGGAGTCCCACATAAATATCAGTTTACGGGGTGGCTAGTCCTGCTAACGTGCTCAGCGCTGTACTGGGGCAATGGCTAGTAGGGAGGATGGTATCTTTGCCCCAGATGAAAGTAGAGGTGATTTAGCCAGCCCCAGGACACTATGGTTACTCGTAACTGTAAAAGTTTTCGCAAACAAGAATGGCAGTGCTATGTGCAGGTAGATACAAGCCATCCGTACAGGAGTGGTGGGTACTGAAGTTGCCAGTGTCGAGAGGCTCGGTGTTGAGGGATCACTACTGGGTGACACCTGAAGCTTGACTGAGCTAGTTCAGAAGCACAATGACTAGTGCCTGAGAAGATGCCAGACAGGCCCATTTTAGGCCTTAAGCCCTCTATAAGAGAGGAAGGATGAGGGGATCTCTGCCTTTTCTTGCTAGACCTGGAGAGGGCGACCTAAGTCTCTGCCTCTTGGCAGAACAGTGTTCCTTCCTCCCAAGAGGAATAGGCACCTTGCATTACCAACATTAAGCAGCATCACAACATCACACAATGGGCAGATTTTAAATCCAGGAGACTTTGGCTCTGCCATAAGGGCTGGACATGTTACTGGGAAAGTCACAGTAGAGAAATTAAGAAACTATTGTTTTTTGTTTTTTATAATAAAGGGCATAAAAGACTAATAACTATGACTCACCAACACTAAACATCTCAACAACTATTTATAGTACAAAGTATTAGTCGCACAGTGAGCAAGAGAAACAGACTCTGACGCCTAGGGCACAAGTGCAGCTTCAACAAACACTGCTGTCCAAAAAAAAAAAAAAAAAGAGCTTGAGTATATGGGGTACATATACTCCAAGAGTGGAAAATATATGGACAAGCACTCAGAGAAGAAGAGAGAGTTTGAGGGGGACTTATTCACTCCGAGAGCATCCCAAGCTATGGTGGTTTGCCCAGACTCTTGGTTGTTAATGCATGGGGAAGGGAGAATACTAACATGCTATCAGTCTGCAGTGGTACTTAAAAATAGGGTCTCACTCACTAGGCAAAACCCCACATTCATTTATAAGTCAAGTGGTGGCCATGCTTGATATGACCAGGTCAGCAATTCCAGAAGTTGGTAGTTTTCATTCTCTCTTACATCAGTATGCCGAAGTTTTAGAGCAGAACATGGATGAGACGATCAGGTATTTTCAGGTACTGATTTTGTCTTTCGGTTTCTTCTTCCTCAAGATTGTGGGGTACTGCATCCCCCGTGACAACGTAGATCTTCAGGCAGAGTTCACGGCAAGCTGGCATGGTAATAGATGAACATTATAGGATTATGTCTTCTTAATAATGTTTGTCTTAGAAGGGTGATTCAGGTATCCTCAGCTCTTGCATTATGAGAGAAGAAATGACCGGTTGACTCATACATAGGTTATATTATTTAAGAGTGCCAACCATGAGGGATTTCTGGCAGAAGAGGCAGTCCTATCTTCACACAATAGGTCTGGTGCATAGGAGAGAATGCCTGACTAATTTTAGGCTCACCCAGTGTTAGAGAATATACAGGCTAAATGGTGATGTTTCTGTGTCAGGTTCCTTTATGGTTTGAAGGTAATTGTTTTAGCCCATTGTCCTGAATCTAGGCTCAGTCCAGGTAATCAGGGTCTACTCATAAGATGATTCTTATGGATGGGTGAAACAGCTTTTGCACTGGATAACCCTAACTTTTATACCTAATTATCTTGACTTGGACATGGTTATGGGATGCTTGTAGTGATGGGTGCCATGTACTTGGCTGATTTGTGGCAGTACTGCTAGCAGGAAATTTGGGCCTGTTGTGATGGATTAAGTAAAACACAAGGGACTTGGAAAGCCATATGTGATTTTAACAATTTATTCTAAAAATAATTCTTTAATGAAATTGAGGCTGTAAGCCTTTCATCCAGATACCTTCTGAAATGTCCTCTGTGGGATGGACAGACAATCAGCAATCCAAAATGCAGCTATATTAATGAAAGCTAGAAAGATCCTTGAAATTTCTAGCAAAAAAACACAAAACAGTATAACAACTACGGAAGAATCTCACACCTTAGAGGCCTGAATCGAGAGAGATACTCAGTGCCATCAATTCCCACTGATATCACTAGAAATTCAGGGTATTAAACACCTCACTCGTTTAAGTCCCAAAAGAGAAAATGAATTCTAAATGAATACACCTTTTACCAAATGTTATGTCTCTCTCACCAACAGAAGTTTATCCACTAAAAGATACTACCTCACCCAACTTGTCTCGCTAATATCCTGAGACCAGCACAGCTACAACAACGCTGAATACAAGCTGTCACACTATAGTACAGCACAGACATTAAACCTTTAACCAATTAAAATTCAATTAGTAAGAAAGCTAATGGTTTACAAAAACCTAATCAGAACATATATTATTGTTATGCACTAATTTTTACCTTGAGGGTACAATTGAGGATTAAAAATCTCATTCATTTTGAACAAACATTTGTAAACAAAATAGCCCTCAATACAAATGTCATAATTAATGGAACATAAATAAACAGGAGTAAGTCATTAGTCATTTGGAGGTACTCCAGTTTGCAAAAAGACTAAATATATACAACAAATCATACTCTGGAGAATATATTATCTACATAATAATCATTTCTGCAGTCTCCATAGCAGTGGAAATATTCATTTAAGTAACAAAACAAAACCTCTCACAATCACCAGGAGTAGTAAATGGCTTAATATTTACAACTAACCTGTATTTTGATTGGCCAGGAAAAATTGCTGACATACACATAGAAAGTGATGTTTGGGTTACTCCGAAAGTTGAATTTTTCACAAGAAAAGCTATCTGTAAATTCCTTGACATTAGTCTTGGAAACAACAGGAATCTCTTCTCCAGATATTGTTCCTGCTAAAAATATAAAGAAATATTAAATTATCATAAAAGGGGCCAAAGTAAGTTTGCTCAGGCACCTGCAATTTAACTTTACTTGAGAGTGCTTGACATTGCAACCTTAACATTCTTTTATATTTTATTTTCTGTTTATTATATATTATACATTAAACATACAAGTATATGACACACATATATACACACACATAGAAAATTCACACACACTACCATGCCAATTTCAAAAGATTATGAATGATTCATAAAATTGATGGAAGATGTACTTTGATATGAGTTTTATTGCAAGCTTATCCCGGTTAACTACACAGCTAATACGGTTTCCCCTAGTAATTTACATCCCATTTCAATAAAAATTCATAGGTTACTAAAGTGTGGAAAGTGAATTTGTCTACATTTTAAAATATTGCTATACTGTTTCAACTGCTCTTAGAAACTTGAATAATAAACCAGATAACCATATATCATTTATTGTAAACCATAAGGCTTCTCACCAATTCTGTTTGATCAGGGCATTGCTGACTTAGTAAAGTAAAAAAGATGATCATGGAAAAAAATAGAATTTGCTAGCAAAGATATGTTAAAACAAAGCTTTCAAGACCTCCCATAAAATACTGTTAGATGCAACTAAGTGCAAAAATTCTCAAGAATATGTAAGTTCTTAAACCATCTTTAAAGGCCTAGTTTTATTCTTTTTTAAAAAATGTACATTTTAAGTTGTAAGCATTATGCTTCTCCTTGGATATATTTTCAGAAAGTCAACAGAACCAATTCATGGAAACTTCCTAAATAAAGCTTTTCTTCCTCTTTATTAAAGCAAAAGGCATAATGGGGTTCAAAGTTTGGGAAAAAAACAGATAAGCAGCTCCTTTTATCAGCATTCACAGATGAATTTTATTGTTTGATATCGATATTAAGGTTAATAATTAAATTTTTAGCTTGAACACTGAAACAAAGAAATTAAAATCTCAGTCTCCCCGGTAGTTTAGGAAGTAATTTATCTTAATTAAAATCACAGCATTTCATAACACTGCCATTTTAAAAAATTAAATAGAGTACAAGCTTTTGCTACCAAAGTAATTTTAATTGAATAGAAGAGAAAGTTAACATGTTAATGAAGCTTTGTTCAGATTACAAATTATTATCTGAATTTTAAGTAATATTATTAATACTAGCATAATGATAATAGTAAAATAATACATTTTATAAAATTTTATTACTGAAATTAGCAACAAAGAGGACAATTATCTTAAAATAGCTTAAACGAACAGTTCTTGAGACATACAGGGCAAAGACATCATGCCAAAATGCTTCCTTACCTGTAGAACCAATAGACCATGTAATATTGAGGTTAAAGTTGTTTGATGCATTAATTGATATATCCAAATTTTTGTTTGACTAGATATAAAGAAAAGATAACATTAAAATTAACAAAATATAACAGAAACGTACTGCACTGAATGTACCTCTATTGTACATAATTAAACAAACTTTTTAATTCTCCCCCTTTTTCACATATCTACTGTAGACTGCAAACACTGGGCCCAGTGAAGTCAAGAGCAAAACTCCCATTGGCAGGACATGACCCTGAGATATAACTTTCACCAATGATCTTGTTTTATATTACAATCCAAATCAAGAAACACTATTTTTTGAAAACTAAAAAACTCAGCCTATATATGAATAAAAATATTCATAAAAATTACTTGTCTTGCTAACAAAAATTTGCTCAGTAAAGGATATTCTAACATATTTCATCCAGTCTATACTTAAATGATCCCAGTTAGTGGGTTTCCACCACTGTCATAGAATCATAGAATATCAGGGTTGGAAGGGACCTCAGGAGGTCATCTAATCCAACCCCCTGCTCAAAGCAGGACCAATCCCCAACTAAATCATCCCAGCCAGGGCTTTGTCAAGCCTGACCTTAAAAACCTCTAAGGAAGGAGATTCCACCACCTCCCTAGGTAACCCATTCCAGTGCTTCACCACCCTCCTAGTGAAAAGGTTTTTCCTAATATCCAACCTAAACCTCCCCCATTTCAACTTGAGACCATTACTCCTTGTTCTGTCATCTGCTATCACTGAGAACAGTCTAGATCCATCCTCTTTGGAACCCCCTTTCAGGTAGTTGAAAGCAGCTATCAAATCCCTCCTCATTCTTCTCTTCTGCAGACTAAATAATCCCAGTTCCCTCAGCCTCTCCTCATAAGTCATGTGCTCCAGCCCCCTAATCATTTTTGTTGCCCTCCACTGGACTTTTTCCAATTTTTCCACATCCTTCTTGTAGTGTGGGGCCCAAAACTGAACACAGCACTCCAGATGAGGCCTGACCAATGTCAAATAGAGGGGAATGATCACGTCCCTCGATCTGTTGGCAATGCCCCTACTTATACAGCCCAAAATGCTGTTAGCCTTCTTGGCAACAAGAACACACTGTTGACTCATATCCAGCTTCTCGTCCACTGTAACCCCTACGTCCTTTTCTGCAGAACTGCTTCCTAGCCATTCAGTCCCTAGTCTGTAGCAGTGCATGGGATTCTTCCGTCCTAAGTGCAGGACTCTGCACTCATCCTTGTTGAACCTCATCAGATTTCTTTTGGCCCAATCCTCTAATTTGTCTAGGTCCTTCTGTATCCTATCCCCACCCTCCAGCGTATCTACCATTCCTCCCAATTTAGTGTCATCTGCAAACTTGTTGAGGGTACAGTCCACGCCAACCTCCAGATCATTAATGTCTTTGGTAGACTATATATACTGTAGTAACCTTCACTTTTAGAAAATACTTTCTGACTCACACACAGAACTAACTTTGAGATAAGATTGCTCAGATTAATTTCCTGGGAACATAATCACCACAAATCAAGGAAATCACCCTTTATAGTAAACTAACACCAAAAAACATTCACAGAATATCAGGTCCACCATAAACTTCATTTCATTTCCAATATACAACCATCCAAAATGTATACATCCAGTTCTTTTAAATCAGAGTCAAACATACAAGCTTCACTGTGATTACAGGCTCACAGCCTGGCAGGGCCTCAAGCCTCTAGCCAAGATTGATGCCCGTATGGCATTAGGGCCATTCGCTCATTCACTTTGTAATTTTGATTTGACTCAGAAAATTTCTGAACAGTCTCTGCTGCCTTTTACAAAGTTTTATTTATTTATTTAGGGTTATTTTTGTGCCACTTTCTCATCATCATAAAGTGAGACTGAGATTCCTGAGAAGTAGGAAAACAGTAGGAAAATATGTCCTCAGTACTACACAGAAGCTATGTCTACACTGCCCAATAGTTTCGGCTACAGGGGTGTGAATAGCAATGCACACCAAAGAGCTGTGCTGTAACTCCCTCGTGTGGACGCTGTGGGTGCCAACTAAAAGGTTCGTAGTGTAGTCCTCTTCAAGCAGGACTACATTAATGCAAAGTAAGAACCTTTTAGTTTACACCCACAGTATTTACATGGGACAATTACAGCTCAGCATGCTCCTGGGTGCACACTTCTATTCACACCCCAGTACTCTGAACTGTAGGACAGTGTAAATGAGCCCTAAGTGGCAAATGAGATGAGACATCTTAAACATGAGATCTTCTTATCATATAATCTATGTGATGCATCATCATAATTATCCTCTGCTGAAAATTCTCTGGTTTAGGTCATGAGGACACACTCATTAAAATATAACTCAATTTTATACATATCTAGGGATGGGTATTTTGTGACAAAAAATTAGCTACTGCAATCTTCCCTACCATAGCTGCCACTCTCCTTCCCCACCTTCTGGAACCCCCGACCTTCTTCATCCTAATTCTAGAAATGTCCTGACCAGATCAGGCCAGAGGGAGGCACCAGATGCCAACACCACCTCAACCAGCTCCAGAAGCATCCCAAATACCACCTGGGATGTGAGGCTTTGTCACAGCCTCCCCCCTAGCCTCCCCATATACCCTTTGTGTGCTCTTTTCCTTCCCCACCTAAGAAAAGTCTGGCTTAGTCAGACAAGACTGTGTATTTTGCAACAACAATATAAGCCTGTAACCAGAAAAGTAGCTAAAAGCAATACCCTAAACAGCCAATGCTGGTACACATCTGCCATGTTTTGGAGTTGCTGATCAGACCATGTGCTATGCCTGTGTTGCAGTGAGGTTGCAAGAGGACAACAGAGAACAACAATGCAAACCTATTTGTTTAGATTGCTCCTCTAAAATGACAGAAATATAATTTTGTAAGTTATATGAATGTTTTAGAAAGCTGCAATATCAAAAATATGGAAACTGAATTTAGAGATATTTATCTCAAGAACACCTACTTTTCAGAAAGTTAAAGAAGTTTAAAGATGGGTCTTGCATAGAAGTCAAAGAAAGTCCAGTGATGTCAACAAGTTTTGGATTATCCCTAGATACCTGACAGGTGCTTGGCAGAGCTAAAATCACAATCAAATACAATGGAAAATTTTGAAGAAAATTACATTAGGATTGATTAATTACATTTCTCACCTGTTCAGGGTTTGCTATAAAGTTTATGGCAGTGAAGTGGCGATCATCTTCTTGTAATAAGCTGAAGGTAAACTGGTAGTCAATCAAAAGGCTGTCTGTGGGCAAAACAGATTGTAAAAAAACTGCCAAGTAGGATTCTGGTGCACATATATTTTAAAAAATATTAAACGTACTGTAGTACCTGAACATTTACTATTACTTTTACTTCAAATATATGGAGAATGGTAAAGGTCAGAAAGTCATTTGGCATTTCAATGTTTATGTATTTGTCACCAAACAATCTGTCGGTGCAGTCAGAAAGTATGAACTTAAGCAAAATAGTCTAAATTGAGAAATAAGAATTAGCATAAAGATTCAAAAGTTATTTTTCACTAAATTATAAATTGTACTATTACCAAGATAGTCGTGCCTCCTGAATTAGTACGTTTTTTCAAAAGAGCCTATAAAATATAGTAGGAACATTGTCAGTTTCCAGATTTTTACACTGAAAAATGGTTTAAATTTTTGTTAAAAATGCACTTAAATGTTTTAGGTTTATTCTAATACTTGCATGGATTTTACAATGTTCTGCAACTGAATTATATAGATGTTACAATTACTAAGCTTCACAGTACCGAAAAATAAAAGAACTGTCTCTACAGTAAAGGTGCACACAGGTATGGTGCTGTAGTTATACGGCTAATAATGAAGTGGTACATTGGAATTTTAGCACCAATAGTACACCATACCAGTATACCCCATTGCAGAACTGCTGCAGTTCTATGGTGAAATCTTGGCTCCATTGAAACAAATGGGAGTTTGGTCATTTATTTCAAAAAAGATTTCCTCTATAATATCCTTCATATCGATAATAAATTTTACCACCAAGTCTCATCCTACTAAAGGAAAGAAAGGGAATGGAGGTTGTTTAGTAGTTCCTTTTTATACCACTTTCAGGCAACAATACCCAACAATGATTTTTGGTGTCCTCTAATCATACCTCTTTCCATGAAATTCTGTTAGCCACTAATGAGCCTCATCTTACATATATAAAACCTATGTTCCTCTGAACAAAACTAGTAACAACTATTAAGGAAGTAGAAGGCAGGGTCAAGGCAGGAAGAAGTTATATCAGTCTCAATTGATGCTTTTCTGTTGGGTCTGATGGCATCTTCCTGCTACTGACAGAAGTCTTCTGTGCAGTACTATAGGGAATCTAGGTCATGATCTGAAACCTGGCATTTCCTTACAGTACTCTGTGGCTGACCAGATTGGTGAGTGGCAGTGCAGTGGACTCAGCACAGAGGCAGGTGCTTGTCCTGTCTTCATTAAAAAAGGAGAGCTTGAGTAATGAGCAAAGTGCAAAACGACAAGGGAGAAGGAGAGGAAGGAGGGGAGCGGCAAGGAAGGCTTAACTAAATGGTACAGTTGCACTTATATAGTTTTACAAACATAATTAAGAAAGCCTTGCTATCCCTCATGATAGGCCCCTCATACAATTACTAAATATTATGATCCCCATTGATTGTATAGGTAGATAAACAAATGTAGGTAGACAAAGGGTAAGATTGTCATCCCTACTCCAGCAACTTTATGCCAAGTAAAAGGGCTAGGAGTGATGCAAAAGGGCTCTCAAAACCGTGGGACCAGCCAACAGACAACAATAGGCTGCACTCTCCAGTGTAGGGATGTGACACAGCAGAGGGTGGGAGGGGCATATCAGGAACAGGGCCACAACACAGCACGGTGGAGAGTCTGGGCAGTGCTATGGACCATAGCTAGAAAGGGGCAGACTGCTATAATCTAGACTGGCCTCCAGGGCTGTTAACGTTACACCAGGAACCATGGAGCAGCTCAGAATTTGAAGAATACAAAGATGGCTTAAAGACACTACAGCCCGCCACTTGGCCTTTTGCTGTGATCTCTTAGAGGTGCAGCACAGAATCTCAGCCAAGAAGCTTAAGTGACCTGCACAAGATCACACAGTGAGAGGGTGAGAGTAGACCCCAGGCCACATGTGTTCCAACAACGAGATTTTGGCATCTTATGTGCACATGACTTTAAAAAGTAAAATAAAATAGAAGTTGAAAAGCTACATTTAATCTTTTAAAATTGAAGTTACTTAGCAGTCAGCAAAATAATTTCCCAGAAATACATATTTTTCAATTACTTCAAAATGTTTAGCTTTTTATTGTCTGTTATACCATAAAGATGAATATTTTTTCCTTTAGCTATATGTCAACATCATTAATGTTAGCAGCTTCACAGATACTGTGTTACTCTCATTTAATCTGTGTTTGTAAAGTAAATGCCAAGGAAAAAGGATCTTGTTATTCAGGAAAAAATAAAAGCCTCTCCCAATGGCAAAAGATGGTGAACTAGATAACTCCCCATATCTTTACTATCTACAATAGTTTACAACAAGACTTCCACTTTTTTCTTGGCCTTGCATCTGCAACACAATAACCATAAATTACCAAAGAGAATAAAAATTGGTTTTATATGGTAACATTTTATATTCAAAGCTACGGCTATACTAGAGATCTTACAGCAGTGCAGCAACACCCATATGAGATAGGTAAGAAATTAAGGGATTCTGGACACTCAGCATATTCTGGACACTCAGTATCAGAGTGTGAACCAACTGCCATGCTGCTCAGTAACACGTTTATATTCTAAAAGAATGATTCCAAGCAAAACAGCGTTCACTGTGAGTACGAGTTCCAGTTATATTATAGGATTCAGATTTGTTGTATGAAGTACTTTAAACAAACAGAAATTACATTAATTTAAATTACATACAATATTTATCGACATTGATTCCTTGAGATGAGAATTAATATGTACTTATATCAAGTAATTTACACTAGCTGAGGATCTGGCTCCATATACTTTTGTTTCTGTTGCAAGTATGTATTAAAACAACTATGATTTCAACGTCCTTAACCTTTACTTTTCATGAGCCTTTTTTTGTGTTTATAAGAGACATGATCACAACAACAAATTACTTTAATTGGGGAAAAAACCTGCATTGATCCCAATTAAATGGAAGGTAAGAATCTTCCAGTGTAACTTTCTGCAGCAGGGGAAGAGAGTGAAAATGCTGATAGTAAAGCACTCAAACAGCATATACAATCACCACCACTCTACCACCTGTAGTTCAACACCAACTAAAAGGCACTCTTACACTGCTTTATCTGTCTGGCCTGCATCTCATTCAAACAATGGTTATTTCCAAGTAAACTTTAGGATGAATACGTTGGCTTCTAGATATCACAGCCCAACTGAACAGACAATGCTGTTACTTGGCTAAATCCTCTCCACATTTATATAAATGGAGCATGAGGTAAAAGGTAAAAACATACCAGCTGCTCATCACATCTATAAGGCTATATAACAAAGAAATAAGTTTCTCAATGCAATATGCAGAATTATAACATTATGTTGTTTTATTAGGTTCCAACAGATAATTTCAAATTTGCTGGAAGTGAATGATTGATATACTTTATGTTCCCCTTTGACAGCTTGATTTCTTTTTGCTCTTTTACTAGGTAAAGATGACTTGTAAGTGTGAATATGACATTATCATTGCTTATGTTTGTGTGTTTAAATTGAGATGTTTAAATGTTATATTGTATTACTTTGTATTCTTAAAGATAAAGCAATATAAAAGTGGAAGAAAAATAATATTTTTTATCAGGACCATGAGTTTCAGTTCTGTCTGAGACACACTTTCCCCCATCCAAATTTAATTCCCAGCACGTTTTTCATTCACAAAGTGTTAATTAGCTATAATGATTTTCTAAAAAGACAAGGCTATTAAATGTCTTGCACGTTGCATAGATTTTTCTCTTAACTATTGAACAAATTTTAACAAAGAGTGTGAGACATAAAAATCAATGTTATATTCTTCTATTTGTAACAAAACTTTTGAATTTTTAGATATTTTACATAAAATGGCCTATTAGTATTTTATTTATTGTTACACTTTCAACAGTTTAAAAGCTCTAGAAATCTGATGTAATATAGACAGTCTTCTATCAATTTTATACTGTATCTGTGAAATTTTGTATCTGTTATTCATTATTTCTTTTTTTCTTTCTTCGTTCTACTGTCATATTTGTTTCTGTTCTCTCACTGCACCTATTTTAAAAATATAATCTCATTGCAGGACATCGGAGTTCCACATTCATTGAAGCAGACTCTAGAACCTGGGTTTCTCACCCCAGTGAGTCCCCTAACCATCAGGCTATATAGTCAGACTCACTGGCCCAATAAGTATTTATACAAAGTGGAAAAGCTTCAACTGGGGGGAGGGGAGAGGGAGAAGAGAGAGAGACCCCCTACCCCCCCACAGAATATCCTATCTGCCTGGTGGTTGTGGCACTCAGATACAATGTCGGAGACCCAAATTTAAATTCCCTTATCCACATGAGGTAGAGTGGAGAATTGAACCTGGGTGCCTCACATCCCAGGTGAATGCTGTTAACAGTAGGACTATAAAATATTGTAAGGGGAGAACTGGCAGCACCACCACCCCCTTCATTTTTTGAACGTTGCCTAAGTCTCTCTGTGAAACTAGCTCCCCCCTTCCAAGTTTTTTTGGCTAAAACTATTCACCAAATTTGTGTCAAATTCGTGAATAGTACTGGTTGCCCCAAAATAAAATATTTTTCACCTAGCTCTAGTAATCAGTCACTTACACCGTTGCAAAGCAAGGAAAAATGATACTAAGTCAGAATAGCAGCATTTTAAATCCACTTTCCAGTGATATCCATGATTGCATAAGGTGCAGGGGGCATTGGAGAATCAGGACCTTCATCTGCATCATATTAAGCAACATCACATCAGTAATTTCTATGATCAAATACAGCTGGGGCTTAGTGTTGTGATAGCCTTTTCACAATTTTGTTTTGAACTCTAAAAAAACCTTGACTACTTCCTCAATTAAGAAAGACAAAAGAATCATTAGAAACAATTCAACATGCCAGTAATAAACTCATGTGCAAGTACAACAATAATTAGGCAAAACAAAGTAGCCATTTAATTAAATAGAAAAATAAATTTTAAAGCAATGCTTTAACTTCTGCATTGCTATTTATTTTTAAAGCGCTAT